AATATGATAAGATTGATAACTAAGTTGATAACTAAGTTGAGCACGAAGCTCCTATCTAATGGCAGACGTGCCAGTCTTATATAGAACTTCCGTTCTTTGTTCCAACAGTTGGANGCACGAAGCTCCTATCTAATGGCAGACGTGCCAGTCTTATATAGAACTTCCGTTCTTTGTTCCAACAGTTGGATCGCTAGAGTCGCTCGTCTACCGAGTCGACCCAGGCGACTGGAGCGCTCGTCGCTCCAGGCGACCCAACTGTCACGTGATTATAACCAAAGGAAATCCCTGGATCGCTTAGCTAGCCTAGCTGATCCCTATTTGCTATAAGTCTACGGATGTGCTTGACCTGTCAGGGCGCCGCCTGGTCTTCACTCTTCACGTGTTAACACGTGATTCGTGACACTAGTATAAGATATAATACTTATAATACTTAGAGATCTTAAATAGTAAATAGCGCTTAAATAAGCTAAATTAAGTTCAATACTAGGTTTAGCTTATTATAGTTATAATTTAGCTCTCTTTTATAACTCTCCTATATTCTAATTTAGCGTTAGATCTATATTAAGTATATAATTACCGCGTAGGGTATATCTAGGTTCTTTAGATATATTAGTATATATAAAGGAATTAAATATATAATAGAATTAACGATTTTATAAGATTTTACGCTAGCGTTCTTTTTTAGTAGTTAGGCTACTAAAAAAGCACGGATTACAGAAAATCCCGGAAAATTAAGCTTAATTCGCAACTAACTATATTATGAGATAATTATTCTACTTTTGCTATAAATTTAGTATAATAGAATTTTATATAGTATATATAAAGTAACGACCAGGTATCTTACAGAGTAATGATTAGGTTTCTTACACCCTAGATCTGCTTAATGATACTTGCTTCTGATAATTTCTTATACTTCTTTATTTACGCTTAGATATCTATAATATTAACCTAGGAGCATACAAGGAATATTCTAGAATAAGGTTAGGATTAATCGTAAGAAGTAGAGAAATAGGTAGTAAGACTAAATAAAGCCGCTCCTCTACTCTAAACCCGCGATACTAATTCATGTGTTACCCCTTATGCCCCTCGATCCTATTTACGTGAAATAGCTAGATATAAAACTATTGCGATACATCCACCACTTTATCACGTGCGTACCTAAAAGCTTAGGCTTTAGGAGTGTACTTAACTCAGTACTCGTTCTTTGATCTCAATATTAACGAATCAACTATTATACCAACTTTTATATTGCTTTGTTATTACTGTTTTGTACCCTTATTTACGAGTATGTCTCGTACTAACAAAACCCAAATTATCTGGTTATAAATTTCATATATCTTTACACAAGGACTCAAGAAGAAAGAGAGTATCACAAAAATATCAAGGTTCTAGTAGCTAAGTCTAAAATTCATAAAGTGAATATACAAGCATGTCTAGTTCAAAGTAACACCCGTTCCACTTCCATCAACAAGCCGTCCTCTAGCACTAACTGCAATCGATCTTTAACAACATTAATTGCATATCTCGCAGCTTCGATCCCACAGTTTCACCTTTAGCATCAGCAGGCAATCGGTCAAACTCAGAAATAAGTTTTCCTTTCTGGCCCGTGACATCCAAAAGAGTGAGCTTCTGTAGGGTTTTGGGAACCTCAAGCTCATCCAGCTCCTCGGAAAAGGGTGCTAGTATGAATTTCCTTTCCCATGGTGAGTATTGAAATTGGAAGTATTCAAATTCCTTGCCGTAAATAATAACTGTCTTGATGAGCTCCAAGATCGAAGAACCTGCCAACCATTTATCGTTTGCAAAAGCGCCACTAAAGGCAACCTGAAGTGAGTGTTTTGGAAGCTCTCGAGCCACTTTAGATATGTGGTCTAATACGAGGGGGTATGAAGCTGCAAGCAAGCCCGAGGCCCTACGGTTCCTCTCCAAAAGCAGAGTATCTGCAAACCAATTTACCCATACGCAACACTGGTAGCTTCCACGATATGGTGTATTGAAGGAGCCTTGAAAACGCTCAGTCGATTTTTCTGGCCGATAGAACTCGAACGCAATGGTACGAGCTTCGCTAGAGACATGGAGGAGCGCTGGAGGTGAGAGAGCGTTGCTTGTCGCCCTATACCAGACAAAGATCTTCGCAGAGTCCGGCACGATTCCCATGCGTCTAGTAGGAATAGATTCGTCTGTAGAGGTATAGTGGTAGAGTACGGATTTGGCATCGAGGACTATGTTCTTTGGGTCCAAACAGGCGGAATAGCGCCATATAATCAACCGCAACTCGGTGGGGAGGTCAGGAAAGCAGGTGAACATTGCTAAGGTGGTACTTGTGCTAGTTTTTTGGTTGTCAACCGGCGGTGGTTTAGAGGATGGTATCGATTGCGAGGTGGGGAGGATGTGTCGGGAAGAAGAAGCGCCATCAGTGGACGTGGCAGATTCCATGGTCGAATGAACTTATGGAGGTTTGTTGCTGGCGTGGTTCGTGTAATGATAGCTTGAAGTGCCAGATATGTAGAGCAAAGTTGTGTTAGGGTATCGACTAAATACAGCTGTACAGAAGGGTGGTACTGACAAAAGCCGCAGCTCTACAAAAGCAGAGGTGACTCAGGAGCACCATGGAGGCCAGTCAAAACCCGAACATCATTCCACCTCTGAATGGATTACATCCTGTCAATAGCTTGTCGGAAAAGAGCGGGGCATATGTGTGAACCAAGTGAGAGTGAATATACCAAAGTATACCTCCAGCTCACGGGAGAAGTGCGGCCTACACCTCAAGCAACCTACATATTCCCAAATAAGCAAATCACTGTCGCCTTCGGGCAGTGGAGGCGGCATGTGGAGTTATGCACCGGTGTGATTCTCATGTGTCGTTGAAACCGATTCTTGGGCTAGCGGCTAGCACTTGCAATCATCCACGTTCAGTCTTTCCTGACTTTAAAAAGGTCCCATCAGGTATTGTGCTCCTCCCTCGTCCATTCGCTGACTCTACAGGTACTACATAGCTATCAAGCAATTATCTCTCTGGTTTGCATCCCCTTTCAGATAGAAGGCTTCGCCTCAAATACTTTTTGGGGGGTTTTTGCACTTTTTGGGAGTTTTGCTGTTAAGCGAGATCGCGCCAGCCACCTGAGTTTTTGCTCCATTCACTCTTCAGTGCCTGCTACGCAAAAGCCCCCTAGTCGAGACACGCGTTCCAAGATAAAAAAAAAGGGCTCTCCGCTCCCTCTGAGGGGTTATTGGGGTTGGCTTGCTGTATTGCCATTCTAAAATTTGAGGCGCGACGGATGCGATTTCACCTTCCCCTAAAAAACACACTATTTCACAAATCCCAATTCCACACCAGCCCTACCATTCAACGGCCTAAGCGGGTCTCAAGGAGGCTTACTATACTTCACACTTCACACCACAAGAGGCATAGAACCACCACAACCCCCAACGACCCGAATCTCTCAATCCTTCCTCCTTTTCACCACTCAAACATTCAACGATAGCACATTAACAATTCCCCTACCTACAGCCGTAAGAAACGTAGTCATTACTCTATATGCACCTCTTTTAGAATAATATTATCCTAGAAGACTCGTATAACTAATATATCTATAAGAAGAGCTTAGAATAACTGTGAACTCTTACTTCGTATTAGCCTAGGAATCTTAAGACAATTATTTTACTTGTACTAGAAGTTTAGTATAATAAATTTCTGTATAGTGTATAAGGAGTAAAGGCTAGGCATCTTACTTCAAGAAGACATCCTTACTCTATTAACATCTATATATTACAATCAGACTTATAAATTATGTCTAGTAACGGAACTTAACACTCTTACAAAACCAAGAAGCCTACAGTTTTCTTAAACCAGAGATATATTCTATAACATATCTAGTAACGGAACAGGGTAGAAAGCTTATAGTTACTTAGTATTACAGTATACATAAACATTCACCCTCTATCCATCCATCCAGACTACTATACCTAATCCCTCCAACATCTCACACAATCAAGTGCAAATCTAATAATCTAATACTCCTCACTATACCAGGTCAAGCAAAATACCTACCTACTCGTCACTCTACACAAACTACATAAAAAAGTTATTATTCCAAACTTCTAGTATAAGTAAAAGAATTATTACAGGATACCTAGGCTATAAACAATAAGAATTGACAGTTATTCTGAACTATTTATATTATTATAAAAATATTTTAGTTGTACGATACTTTTGGAATAATTTATTTCAAGAGAGGTGTAATCTTATAGAGCAATGACCATGTCTCTCATACAGGGACTGGTGGGGACTGTATTGCAAGTAAACATTTCGCACGACATCCTTATTAACCTGATATCACAAAGATGAAACCATTGAATAGCAAAAAAACAACCTCAAAAACCCAACGAACCCTCCCAAAGCCCCTTACGCTACGTTCTAGAAAAAGATCTATTCAACACCAACCGCAATCACCAAGAACCCATTCATCGAAAACCAAAAGACTATAGAATTGGGGTATAATTATTCTACTTCAAAGCATGTTCAATCAACCTCTTATATCCCTCCACAGCCTCCTCCAAATCCGAGACCTTCAGATGCTCATGATCACTATGAGCCATCAGGATAGTTCCGGGTCCGTAGAGATATCTCTTATGATCTCCTTTCAAGTTTGGAATATCTGTCCCGTAGTTGACGACCATGCTTTCGAATCCTAGAAATGGTTAGGATGCGAAGCTATAAACAAGAAAGATTTATTATTAGGGATTAGGGTTTGACTTACCTGGCACATCACTATCAATATAGACCGGTCCGTAACCCGAACCAGTAACGATGACTTCCAAATCCTCATCTATACTCTCCACCGCCTCCGTGACAATCTTCCTAATCACGCCCGGTTCCCCATCCGCAATTCTAATAGCAATAGTAGCACTCGCATCCTCCGCAATAACATTCGCCGCAACCCCACCCTCCATCCGCCCAACATTCAGCGTCGTATTACCATACTTCTCATTATACGGCAACTCCACATGCAGCAACGCATGCAAAGCCTCAACCAACATCTGATTAGCACTCTTGCCAAGCTCAGGGTATCCCGAATGGCCCGCCTTGCCTTTCGCCTTAACCTGCAAGCCCATGATCCCCTTATGCCCACTAGCAAGCTTCAACTCCGTCGGCTCCCCAAAGATAGCCGTCTCCCAGCTCAAACCAAGCTCATTCGCCTTCCTCATCCCATCGCCGCCAACCTCCTCCCCAACCACGAATAGCAATGCCACATCTCCTTCTTTGATCGTGTTAGCAGCCAACAACTCCTCCACAGCAACAACCTGCGCCGCCACACTCCCCTTCGCATCCACACTCCCCCGTCCCCAAATCTCGTCCCCAATCCTCTCGTACGGCCAGAAGGGGGGCACTGTATCAATATGCGACGAAACCAGGACCCTCGTCTTCCTCTGCGTACCTACATACGCGAGGATATTCTCCCTCGGACTCTCAGAGCTGGCTTGTGGCCCCACATCTTGGAGCTCGACGGTAAAATTTTGGCTACGGAGGTATTGGGTTAGGTATTGGGTGACGGTGTCTTCGTTGCCGGTCATTGATTGGTGCTCGATGAGGTTTTCGTGTAGCTCTAGGAGAGTGGTTGTTGAGGGGCTTGGGCTTAGGGTTGCGATTTCGAGAATGGGGTGTTGGGGGGAGAGGGAGAGGGTTGTGGATACGTGGATGGCGAGGAGTAAATATGGTGGTATTGGGGACTTCATTTTTGGTGTTGGATAGGCCAATTAGTAAAGGTAATTCAATGTGTGGAAAGTTGATGCATTTTAAGAAGGGAGAGTTGGAATGACGTTGGGAGAGCTTCAAGCTTCCTCTGCCGTCTTGGCAGGTACATCCAAACGTGGAAGGTGGGGTAGTACGAGTACAACAAAACATGAAATAGAGTTCGGTTCTCTCTTCACATTGCAACGATGCGTTTCTAATAGATACGATGCTATGTACTTTATCTTCCATTTGTATCGATTCTATTGACTTTGTGCAATAAGAAAATAGCAGCGGCTTGCCGTCTTCAGACAAACTGGCAAACTAGGTACGGCTTCTCCGAGCTTTCCAAGGCTTATGAAGATTTAAAAATCTTGCCTGCCGTTCAGTACATAATCCCTACAGGCCTAGCAAGAATATGTTATCAGCAAGCTTTCTCGAAAGAAAAAAAAGCGAACGTAAAGATAGAACATACCGTCTTCAGAACGTTGACCCGCTCCATCGACTGATTAAACACATTTCGATATTGACTGATGCTCTGCCTCAACATCTCATTCTTGCTTATTCGTCCTTCGCAAATATCCTTCATCCGCAGTTCCATTTCTTTACGTAAGAACGGTTTGCTGATAGGCGTTTCGAATTCCATATTTTCAAACCCCATGACGAGAGCCATACCGAGGACTGAAGGTATAAATTCTTGTACTCCCATGTTGGCAGCACCTCCTCCATCTCCTGCTACAGCGCCTCCTCTTCCTCCTCTCCCACCTCGTCCTCCGCGACCTCCATCCCTTCCTCGTCCTCCGCGACCTCCATCCCTTCCTCGACCGCCTCCACGACCACGGCCTTGCGCTGGGGCAGGACCACGTCCACCAACAGGCTGTGTAAAGCAGTAATCTCTTTCTTGAATCTTGGAGATATGTTCTGCCATTGTAGCGTCCGTACCAATACCATTAGCATCCATGAGAGCAAGTAAATCAGGTTCTGTGAGGAAACCGGGAGGCGAAGTTTCACCCTCATTCATATTGGCTTCATCTGGTTCAAATCTCTCCCCAAGTATGAACTGAGGTAAAGTCTGACTGCTAGTCCACTTATCATAGACATAGACATCGAGATAATTCCTTTCGACCACCACTAATCCATGGGCGGTGAGGAACTCGGATCCATATTGTATGTCTACATCAGTAGCTTGTCCCTTTGCATCATCGGCACAGCAAGCCAGGAATCGGCGGGTGACAAATTCATAGACTCGTGCTTCTTCTGGGTTTAATGCTGTAGGTTGAACGTGTATGATAGGATGAATAGGAGGATGCGCTTTATCATCATTTCGACCCTCACGTGGCCATTGAAACCCTCCATTAACCAAATGCTGAGCAAAATTTCCCCATCTATTATCAGGGGTCTGCTTTTCAACTAATGCTCGAAGATTCATCCCTTTGTCAAAGCGATCTGTTTCTGTACGTGGATAAGAAATAAATCCTTTCTGGTAAAGGGTCTCTGCAGCTGTCATTGCTTGTTGAGAGTTCATGCGGAGGTAGCGTGTAGCATTTTTCTGTAACTCTACTGTGGTCAAAGGAAGTGGTTTCCATTTTTTGGTGGGTTTCTCTTGAACTTTGGTAACTGTGCAGAATTTTGCGTCTATACAACGTTCGAAGAGAATAGTAACCACTGCGCGATCAAAAAGACGATTTCGTTTCCAGGAAAAGTTGACCTTGATATCATCGCGAGTATGCACCACTTTTATTGTCCAGAATGGTTCAGGTCTAAAGCCTTTGACTCGGCGATAGCGGTCTACCACAAATCCCAGGGTGGGGAATTGACATGATCCTGTCTATGTTAGTCACAATTATGGGAAAGTTTCACAAGGGACGATGTCCGATATCAACCACAAAGGAATTTATGACAAACCATAACTTAATATTCTGCTTTTTCCGTTATCCTCGACGAATGGCCCTCCTAGAGTTTGAAGACTAAGCGTAAGCCATCGAGTGAATGCATATCCTATACGCAAGTCTAGCTCCCTACGCGCCTCAACGGCGTTGACCTGACGATCATCGAGAATAACGGGATTTTTGGCTGCTTGAATGACGTGTCTTGGAAAGTTAGCATGGGAGGGTTTAAAAATAGGCCAGGAAAGACCGAAGATATATATACGCTCTTTCAATATTGCTGAACCTTGCTCTCTTAACCTCCATCCTCGGATTTGTTTTCAACGCTTCCGTCCTGACCTCATGGCCGATGTGTTCCCCTTCACGATCACAATCGGTCCAGATAAATAAAGCCCTGGCACCTCTAGCTTCTGATTGAATATTGCTTGCAATGTCATTTTTGCTATCTTCAACCTTGATAACTATAGGCGCATTGAAAAGAGTCTGTGGGGGAGGGAAACTCCAGTTCTTGTGTTCGGGAGTAAATTGAGCATCGGTAAGATGGCCAGAAATGCATGTCATGACCACATCACAATTTCCCCATGGTGGACCGAAATTGAAAGTAAACTTGTAGTTTTTGATATATTGATTCCTTGTGTTTTGCTACTTGAGGTTAGTTGGATGTGTATAAAAACGTGAGGGTGAGACTTACGGTTGTGAAAGAGCCACCTGAAAGATGACCGGCCACTGCTTTAGAGATAGACGGCTTCTCCGCAACACAGAGGATTTTTCCAGGCATGGTGTTGATACCATTGAGATGATCTCGTGACAAGGAAGTAAAAGTAGTTTAGATACACCCGCACGCCTCTTCCTCGAAGAGAGTCACAAAGGTAACGACAGTAAGTGGATATTGTCCGCGCAAGGCTCACGACCAACCGAACTTTGAGATATTGATAAGCCACTTGGGAGCCGAGAAGTGATTGAAGGGAGTTAATGATCTCCACTACATCTTGTTTGATCCGACCGTCGTATCTGACTTGAGCATGAATACGGAGTATATAGCATCCGTATGGTGGCGTACTCGTAGGTAGTGGGCACGTCGAAGTAAAATAGCCGAAGCTGTGAATTGCACACCTGCACACCCTGTACAGGTACTGGTCATTCCAATGCCGTGGTTGCCTCTTTAAGTCAGCGTCGCGATCCAGGCCTTGGTGCTGTGCCTGTGCTTTTGTTTTGCCGATGTCACCCATGACATGCCATGGATTTCGTACGCGGTACAGTGAGATGGGATGGGTGTACAGGGATCTCCGCAGGCGCTGAGCTTAGCGGGCGAGTGTGGGAGCACCCGTGGACCCGCGTCATTGGATTGAACCGCATAAGGACTCGTATGGTAGTACCTGGTGGTACTACTACCTATACCCACAGTTCCCCAACAACTGTCAACACCATCCCCAATCACCGTTGACCGTGATTCCCGACTTCCCATCCGACCAAACCTGCAAACCTGGGTCATATCTCCCATTGGCTTCCAGAATGGCTCTACCAGTGGTCAAGACCCTGACCGAGTGCAACAACTTCCAAACCACCGTACTTCCCTACCTTCCGCAACTGTACGACCTTCCTCAACAGCTTCTGCAGTCATGGAACAACCCCACCGAGCTCCAGAATATCTATCTCGCGACCAATCCACTGATCACCGCCGCTGCATTTTGTTTGGCGCTTGCGCCTGTCTTCCTCCTCATCTCTGAACTCAACAGGAATTATTCCCAGGTGGATCGCATGTGGTCCATCCTGCCGACCATCTACAACACGCATTATGTGGTTTACGCTCATATGTCTGGGTTGAGCACGGAGAGGTTGGATAATCTGATTGCATTTAGTGTGGTCTGGAGTGTACGTTTCCGCTGTCCACTAAAGCTCGGGAACCTGCGCTAACGGGTGCCAGTTGCGCTTGACATTCAACTACTTGCGGAAAGGTGGATATAGCATTGGGTCAGAGGATTATAGATGGCAAGTACTTCAAAAATTCTGAGATCTCCGAGCTCTGCTAACCTTTGGTTTAGGGAGATTTTGAGAAAATATATAAGCCCTCCTCTATTTTTCGTCTTCAATGTCACCTTCATATCCCTGGCACAGAGTATTCTGCTCTTCCTCATAACGACACCCACCTATGTTCTCCTCCTGGCCTCCCGTTTTGGCAACGAGATGGTTTCTTCAGATCTCGTATTCTCAAGGGTCTTGATGGGATTGGTACTGGTGGAATTCTTCGCAGATCAGCAACAGTGGAGTAAGTAATATTCGTAGTGCACATATTGAATAATGACTAAAACATACCACAGACTATCAAAAAGCAAAAACAGAGTACCTCAAAATTGCCAAAGTTCCATACACATACGAACAAGAAGACCTTGATCGTGGATTCGTGGTGACTGGTCTTTGGTCTTGGTCTCGTCACCCAAATTTCGCTGCAGAACAAGCCATTTGGGTTGTTCTCTATCAATGGGGATGCTGGACCACTCACGTACTCTATAATTGGACCTTCGCTGGAGCCATGTGTTATCTCATTCTCTTTCAAGCTTCAACTTGGTTCACAGAACTGATCACTGCCCGAAAATACCCTGAATATGAAGAATATCAACGACGGGTGGGCAAATTTATTCCCAAACTTTCAACAGATCTTCCTGGGGATTTCAGTGAGCAAAAAGCTAAGCCCAAGTTGGATTCAGAGAAGTCCACTGCCGTTAAGGGTAGGAGTGGTACTAAGAAAAGCAAGAAGTGAACGTCTTCTGAAAAAAGAAGGATGGTATTAATGAAGGTTTGAACCTGATAGATTTTGCAATATTATAGTAATAACAATATTTACTTTAGCGATAACACTATACTCTTAGTGAGTGACTGCCTGAACACGGTATATAGTTGATTTCTGGTGTCACTTGTTCTAAACCCAATAGTAAGTACTCTGGGGAAAATTGTAAAGATTACGTCATATTTATGATGTTGTTATATGGTAAAAAGGATGTTTCTCATCATAGTCTACTTTTCTACTCCTAGTTCAAAGAAATGCCTTTCTTTCCACTGCCTATTCAGTTGAGCCTCAAGCTACGAAATATGATAGTATAATTGGAGCTAATGAGATAGTGAAAGAATCGTTGGCCTTTTTAACCCTCTCTTTGATTTCAGTATGTGCAGCACCACGGCCTCAATTCACAGATCGTTGGTGGTTCGCGTGGGTCGCTCCACTTCATGATTTTGCGCCATCAGATCCCCCGCTATACTCGCACTTAAGTGCCTTCACTCTCTCTTCGTCAGAACTACTAGTCTCACGAGAATGCGGGGGCATATACACCACCTGCCCTGGTCTCTAACCTCCCAATCCGTTTCCCATCACAGCGATTGACATGTTCTCACAGCTTTACGACTTTTACGAAGCATCCGACCCGTTCTTTTGTCATACATTCCTTTGACTTTGTCAAGATGCCTCCTCCCTTTTCACACACGGGAGCTCCACAAACCCCAAGTTCAAGAGGTCGTGGCAACTACGCGTTTGGGAGACCAGGTACTCCAAGACCCAACCTGCCTGTAGGTCCTTACTTTACCATTTCCTTTGAATCCTTTCCTTGCATATCTTGGAGATTGTGTTCGAGTTCATCTGCAATCAACTAGATCCATAACCCCTGCTTACACAAGCTTACCTCGACTTCTAGCCCTCTATCTCCCCTACTGCCGCGTACACAAATAACTTTGGTGTTTACAACTCTGATCCGGCAGTTGAATATCGCTCTCTGTCATTGGGAAGTGGAAGTCCTCGTTCAACTGATTTGACACCTTCTCAATCCTTCGGTAGCTACCCACCTACATTCAATCGCTCGGGAAGTGGTGAGAGATACATCGCACTCTACAATGAGACTCCGACTAAAAAAGACTGTTACCCAGGCAGTATCGCCAGACGAGGTACTACATGTGACCAATTGCACTCTGAGCAAGCCGAGGATACTGATCACGATGTTGATATGGAGCTAGGATCTGATGCCGACGATGAGAGAAGTCTGAGTGGTTTGGAAGAGGCACAATTCGACGACTCGGAATCCCACACTCTGTCTGCTGAATCTGACTCGATGTATATTGAGGCTCAATCCGACAGCGAAGGTACTCTGGCTGCTTGGGATGAGGGCGAATACGATGAGCAGGAGGCTGATGAAACTTACGCCGTGCCTTACGAGACTGATTACGATAGCGAGGGAACCATGCCTGCTTTGGAGGAAGAACGATCCGATGATATGGACTATGATGGATCTGGTGAAGACTACTACATCCCTGCTGAGCATATCAGCGATGTCTATGAAGATACTGCTACTCATCAAGCACGTTTAGATGAAGCTCATCAATCTAACCTCAACTACCCACACTACCCCCAGCACCCAGGACTCGCAGCCAGCATCAGAGACCCTTCAATCCCCTCTTTCCATTCCGTCATCCAGGATATTCAATACACCGCAGCATCCGATCTCTTCGGTCCAGTCCACCAGCAAACTATCTACGGCCCTCCACCCTCGGGTATCAACGTAGCATATCCTCAAACCCCATACCCGCCCCCTCTTATGCAGATGAATGATCCCGAGCAATTCGACGCTGTTATGCCTCCCATGGGCACCAACTATTTCTCTACAACTGGCCAATGGGGTCAAGGTCCTGATCAGATTCGAATCCCTTCTTCCCAGCAGGGTTTTGGACTGCTTGGTGAGCAAGATGTGGCACGTCGGGGGAGTCTTCCTTCTTTTGAGGAGGGGTTTGGGGATCTGGTTAGGAGAGATGAGGAGGTTATGAGAGAGGAGCGTCGGGGGAGTCTTCCTTCTTTTGAGCGGGGGTTTGGGGAGCTGGTGAGAAGAGATGAGGAGGTTATGAGAGGGGAGCGTCGGAGACAGTGGGCGCAACGCAGGAGAAGAGGGGAATGGCGTAGGAGAAGGGAGGAGGAGGTTATGAGAGAGGAGCATCAGAGATAGTGGCCGCAACGCAGGAGAAGAGGGGAATGGCGTAGGAGAAGGGAGGAGGAGGTTATGAGAGAGGAGCATCAGAGATAGTGGCCGCAACGCAGGAGAAGAGAGGATTAGGAAAAACAAACTCACTTGTAGGTTGGGATAAGCGGGGTATTTCATATTTGGAGTTTGTGTTAAGGAATAGCTTACGGGATGGAGTTCGTGTTCATTTATTTAGTAAGTTACTAGGTCTGTATGCATACGTGTGTCTCGGGCACTTGATGTAGGTATTTGGTTAAGGTCACTGGTCAATTAGGGATAGGAGTAGGTCTTACGTATGTCGGTGTATGTATGTATGTATGTATGTATGTATGTATGTATGTATGTATGTATGACGAATCAATAGGATATCTCATGTACTTATTACACGGTCAGTGGTGCTGTGTGTTAATGATATGATATGTACTGTATTCCTTGAACTAATATAAGAATAGATTCTAAGTTCCAAGTAACCATGCGGGAGAAGTGAAGACTTGAAAATGTGAACTTGAATTGGCAGTGATTTGAGGTGTTATTCGTGTAGTATAGGTAAAAGTAATGTGATGCAAACCTTCGTTTTAGCTACTCAAACTAAGATGTTTTGTTTACCATTTATAGAGTACGTCGGGTAAGCGATGCTGCGATGGTGACCTGAGAGGGACAGCAAACGCGGCATCAAGCTATGCTTGTTATTTCTTTTTTTAGGTTGATTTGAGTCATTATCGGCCTTAATTTTGAGACAATTGATTTAATTGTCCTAATATCTGGTTATTTTAATGAGTAAAATTAATTAGAACAGTTGTACGAGTACAACCACCGCTTTCCGCACTTTGCGTATGCCTATCAAAAAAGGTGGTCCTGGTGATAGGGAACACCCGGGTTTCGGCTATGAGTAACTTCAAGCTTGCTGCGAAAGCATGCCATGGCAAGTACAATACATCCCATTTTCTAAGCCCAACCGAGCCTTCCATTTACAGGAAAACAACTAGACAATTTTCCTATGTTACCTTTCTCAGCCTGTGTCAGAATCAAGTGGCAAAAAAGTCCATTCTTTAACTCCAGCTTCATTAATACTTTTCCCTACAAATACAATCCTTGTTCACGCCCCCTGGTGACCTTCAACCATCCACATCGATTATCAACCTTCAAGCTCTTCAAGTCTTTCAGTACCTCAAGCATGGCTGACTCACGACCAGTCTTCTTCTTTGACATCGATAATTGTGTAAGTATCTTTTCTGCACCTGTCTCTTGCAATTAACTGACTATCACTAGCTCTATCCCAAGAGTAAGAACGTGCATCATCACATGACGAGGTTGATCGATGACTACTTTATGAAGCATTTCGAACTTACACGAGAGGATGCCTTCAAGCTCCACCAAGAATACTACAAGAATTATGGTCTTGCAATAGAAGGACTCATCCGTCATCACAAGATCGACCCATTGGAATACAACCGCCAAGTTGACGATGCTCTACCCCTCGATGAAATTATCCTTCCCGACCCAGATCTCCGGAAGTTACTGCAAGACCTTGATACGACCAAAATCAAACCCTGGCTGTTTACAAATGCCTATGTCACTCATGGCAAACGAGTTGTTCGTCTTCTAGGTGTTGATGATTTGTTTGAGGGCATGACATTTTGTGATTATGGTGCCAATCCGATTGTGTGCAAGCCATACCTTAAGATGTTTCAGAAGGGAATGCGCGAGGCTGGAGTCAAAGAGATGAAAGATTGTTACTTTGTTGGTAAGGGTATTTCAACATCGATCCAGTTTACAAGCTTACATTTTTAGACGATTCCGATTTGAATTGCAAGAAGGCCGAAGAACTGGGATGGAATACGGCGCATCTGGTAGAGGAGGAAGAGCCTTTGCCCGCAGAGAAGCCATGCAAGCATCAAATTCGTCACTTGGAAGAGCTTAGGTCATTGTTTCCACAATTCTTCAAGTCCACTTCTGCATAGAGTTGCACGTTTTCAATAAGGGCCGGGAATGATCTTTTGGATGGATTGACGATAGACGATAGATTGGAGAAAGTGTGCTGAAGCTGCGTAGACACCTAAGAAGACCACGATGAACAACCTTGTATTGCATAGAAAACCAAAGATACCATTAAACTCCGCAAGGGGTATTCCCAAACTCCAGATAATGCCTCCGTGATATAGTCATTATTCCTTTGCTCTTCCGAGCTATATGATCCATGAACGAAGCCGCCTCATGGTCTTTTCACATTCCGCAAAACGCCCTCCAATCTTGCCAAAACTGCCTCCTTCTCCTTGAGAGCCTGTTTCCGTTGTTCCTCTGCGACCTTCAAATCCTCCTCTAACTGCTTAATCATCCGTTCCTGGTCCTTCTCGCTATTCTCCAGCCCCGGGAGAACCGATATCAGAAATTCAATTTGTTGTTCTTTGGTGATTAGGTCTTGCGCCAACTCGCGCTGGCCATCTTTGAATTGTTGCGCCGGGAGGGGTTCCACTACATGCGATGAGCGTGACGAAATAGCAGTTTGAGGGAATGCCAATCACCATCTTGGGGGTCCCGCTGAGCGCCTTCGTTTTCCTTCTTGGTGTCTCGTACACTATCGGTTGCGCTCAGCGTTTGTAGGTCGTGGTGTTTGTTGACGTAGTATATGGATGCCACGAATTGGTTTGCAAGCTGGAGGGCGGTCAGTAAAGTATGAAGGGCGTGGTGGAGGGTACATACCTGATCAACAGCATCTTGGAGTTGTGTCAATCGGTCAGCCATGATGTGCAGTACAATTGTTGAACATTAGAGGAGGGGTGACGATTAGACAAGGCTGAAAAGCTTCATAACCTTACTCGCCCTCGCCTTGCAGCGCCGGCCCGGAAACGGGGATGACGACCCGATCCCGTCCCGAAATCCAAGTGAATGCCCGTCGGTAAATCCGATGGAATATATTCATCTCCGACATCACTTTTTTTATGCTTGATCCATAGAAATCAACCCCAGGCGCAATTGCCTCACTCTTTCCGCAGAAACAATTCCGCAAATCCCATCTCATCTCATCTTTCTGTGTTACGCGTCTAAGCAGTTGTCCGAAGATGCATTGTCGATAGCCAGATGTTTGTATGATCTTTCAAGCTCAATGTTCTGCTTGTTGCCCCCTAGTCGACGCATCCTCTGTCTTCAGCAACCGCAAGCATTCCGCAATTTGTCTACAACAATCAGAAAGCTACGAAACACGAGCACGTCTCAGCTTTTGCTTGACTCCGGGAAAAAGAAAAGGACGCGAAAAGCATCTCTGAAAGGAAACTCAGATCACGATGGCGTTCAGAACGTGTCTACGGAGACGAGCGAAAAAGAAGTTACCTTGAAATCACTGGACCCAACGTCTCTTATTTCCAGTTCAGATCCATCGACCAAGAAAAAAAGAAAGAAAAAAGAGACATTAGAATCTCCGAAATTGACCTCCGAAAAAACTCGCACCAAAAAAGACATCTCAAAGGAAACTGAACCAGATATTCCCATACCCGTCAAAAAGCCCAGAAGGAAGAAAGAGAAGCTAGTATACCCCGATTCATCAAGTCTGAATCACCTTGACCTCTCAACCTTTTTGGAATACGCAACCCGAACAGGGATGAGTCAAACAAGTACCACCTATGTTGGCACTCACTACGAGTACATTGTACAAATCGCTTGCGAGCAGCATCTAGGGATGTCCCTCAAAAGGATTGGAGGAAAATCAGATTATGGTATTGATCTCCTTGGGACCTGGAAGTTACCAACAGCAAAGCGACACTTCAGAGTTCTCGTACAGTGCAAAGCCCTTGGGGCTAAGGTTCAACCAGCGGTCGTAAGAGAGCTCGAAGGAGCTTTCGTTGGGGCACCTCCCGGTTGGAGAGACCCTGATGTTCTTGGTTTCTTAGTCACGCAAAGACCAGCGACTAAAGGCGTCCGGGAGGCTCTTGGAAGAAGTAGATGGCCGATGGGTTATGTTCTCTGTGAGAGTGATGGGTCCATTCTGCAAATTCTTTGGAATCGAAGAGCTGCCGAGGTTGGTTTGGATGGCGTTGAAGTGCAGACGAGATATCTTGGTGGTGAACAAACCCGACGGGAGGCTCTATTGAGTTGGAAAGGGAAGCCGATCCGTGGTTAGTTTTACACATATCCGTGTTTTACATCAACACATATCCGTGTTTTACATCATTGCTTGTTTGTGGTTGCCTTCTCGGCCCGCCCATATCATTAGCAAATGGAGAGAACGAGCATTACGGGACCATTTAGCTTGGATTTGGGCGATACATAAGGAATGGGTGTCTCGTTAGACGCTTGAAAGCACTTCCTAAGCTTCGTCCTTGCGCATATCGAACATTGAGAATGTGCCACCAAGTCATTCAGGTCTTTGATTGTGGGCATCAATCTGGGACGAAGATAGCCCAATGTGATGATACCATATCTACATGCAATGAGTATTTTTTGCGACATGAATTGGAGAATATTAAGTCGCTATGTAAGGTATGGTTGATACCCCCGGATTTTGTTTGGAAAGTGTTGACCGATTTGCAGCGTTGTCGAAAGAAGAGGGAATCTCAACGCTTGTGGGTCGCCCGCGGGGAGGCCATGGACGATGAAGGTTATTGGTCATGAAGGGTTGGAAATTGAACCCTTTGAAGCATATGGGGCTAAGCTTGTTTGGGGAGTAAATAAGTCATGGTTGGATTCATAGCTGCTGTGAGTCATTGAATCTGTTTGAATACACAATTCTACGGAAAACAAGACATGCAAGCAGTCACTATCACGATGGTCTGATTGAGAAGCGGGGGAGAGCTATAAGACAGTTGATGCGCGAATATGGCACTTCACAATGCAGAGGCTCTGCGTAGTTGGATTTGAATGTAATTAGATTTCTACTCCTCTACTCATTATATTTTCGATACGGCAGCCTTGGCCTTGACGGCTGCCTGGACTGCAGGTCGCTCCAACAATCTCTTATTCCAAGCAAAGTAGTTGGGGAACTTGTTCTCGACATCCAAACCTGCCCACGCCTCACCAAACATCCATGGAAGCATCATATCCCAAGCAATGAAGGAAAGGTCAGCAATCGTGCTATTATTCTTTGGTCAGCCACGGAATCATCGACGTCTGAAAACACATTCCAGCTCCAAAAAAGGGAATGAATGGAGACTCACCACTTCTCCCCAACCAAATATTGTTTCCCCTCCAAAGCCTTATTCAAGACACCCAACACCCGCTTAACATGCTCCCTATACCTCTCAATCGCAGAAGGCAGTTTCTCAGGATGATAATGCGCGAACCAACCCGCCTGTCCATAATAAGGGCCCTGCCCACTCGCCTGGAAGAACACCCACTGCTTAACGAGGAACTTCTCAGGCCCACTGGTGAAAGTCAAGTCCTTGTCCTGGCCGTACGTCTCGATGAGGTACTCGATGATGGCGGCGGATTCCCAGAGGGTGATGCCCGTGTTGGGGTCTTCGATGGCGGGGACGCGGCCGTTGACGCAGATCTTCTCGTAGGGCTCTTTTTTGACGTCGGACATTTCGAGCATTTTGTGGTCGTATTTGAGGTTGAGTTCTTCGAGGATGATTATTACTTTCCATGGGTTTGGTCCGCCGGCTGGAGGACGTGTTAGCTGATTTTTCTTCTTTTTTTTCCTTTTTGGGGGAGTCTTGATAGGAGGTATTACCATGGCCCCAAAGAGTGATTGGCTTGCTCATTTTGAAAGAATAGAAGTAAAAAGATTCAACTTGTTAATAGTATATAACTTTACAAAAACATCGACAACGTACCGCCTCCTCTCTTATACCATCCCCATCCCCACCCTCCCATGCAACAAAAAAAGTACACANTATATAACTTTACAAAAACATCGACAACGTACCGCCTCCTCTCTTATACCATCCCCATCCCCACCCTCCCATGCAACAAAAAAAGTACACATCACCACCGCATCACTTAACAAAATCCTTGTGAAATAAACTTTCTTGAATGAAAAAGCTTCGAAGGTACCCCTCTCCCGCTGCCGCTCCCGTCCTCTAAAAGTGCTTACTTATACTTGAGTGGATCACAAGGCGCTCCATTTTGCGCACTCTACGGGCGAAAGACGGACGTTATTTAGTGGATTGAATGGTAGCGAATTTGCACGGGCCACAACTTGCTGGCAGGAAGACTATTCAATAAAGAAGAGTTATCTTCCACTAGCCCTAAGTTATAACTCTAGCCCTTACCCATCTACTCTAATTTCTGATCCTAGCAATGAGCCAAATATAGATCATTGTAGTGGCTTTTGAGTAATAGAAGAGGAGGTGTAGGGAATTTTATACTGGCCAGTGCGTGATGTCCCTCAAACTTATTTATGCCAAAAGTTAGCTACCATTGGAAGTAATTGATTCCCGGAAAACACTCCTAATCAAGAACGCGGAATCTGGATAAAGGAATCAATTTCAAAATTACGGGTTCCTTGTGGCGACCCTGGCTCTGGAGATCAATCACGTGACTGACCCATACTCCCTAGGCATATGCAGTACCTAGTTACATTAGATGAAAAACATAGAAGCTTAGCTTATAAACGGAAAAGTAGTAGTAAGATTCTAATATATCTTCATATAACGAATTCTAAGTATGTAAAGATATTAGTACATAAATCTTTTCTATAGTTACTTTTACTTCTCTTTCTAATTAGTGAAACCCCAAAGCAGGATAGACAGTGTTCACTAGATCTAACGAGTTTTACTATGCAATAAGCCAGCTCGTTATAATTCTTCTCTTGCGGGGATATATATTGTGATTGCTCGCACCTCTTGTCCATGAAAAAAACACATCATATATTTCTTATGAACCCAAGTTCACTACTACGTTGTATGGGATACACGTAAGAAGGCTGACCTAGCAATCAGTCAGATTTGTCTCAAATGAATATTCATTTTTTGATAGTGACTGCTTCTCTGCTTGACAGCCAATTTTGTATCATATCGTACAACCGCCCCCAAATGTGAAACTGTATTAAACCTCCAAGGCCGAAGGAAGGACACCCGATTCTGTAATTGACCTCGCGCTAGGTATTTGTGAGCCGGTAGAAAATCATCGCGGATTGTACGCCTCAAGCAGAAAGTCCCCTCTTCTCACTCTCCGAGAAGAAAATCAACATTCTCCATAACTTCTTGACTAGAGCCTCGGCCTCTTCGTCAAGTGCCTGCCACATTGATTAGCATACATACTTCAAGGAGCGAAGGGCGTAACTTACACCAGCCAGTTGATCTACCAAATCCTGAGGCTTCCCTCTAGTCCTGATATGTTCCTCAACTACTTCAACGAGTAATTGCTCTTGCACGCCGAGATATTCCATGATTTTCTTCTCCACAAATGGCTTGAGTTTTTCTTCAACCACACCATCATCAACAAATCCCCACTGGACATCCCAAGTCCATAAACCGTCTTTATCATTCGGAATATCGGCAGCAAGTTGTCTGATCGCCTGATCACGCTCTTCATGCGTAAGAGCAGATGCCGCTGTCGATGGATCGAACTTGATAGGTACAAGAGTTCGCTTCGAGGTTTTGTCAGCATCCTCCTCATCTTCCAGGAGACCTTCGACTTCGGCAACAGTTCGCCGAGGAGGTGCAGCTTTCTGGGCTTTCTGTGCAGCAGCGCCAAGTGACAGCTTGAATGGCTGCTGAGCGCGACCTGCACGAGTTTCCAATTCTTCAGCTTGGCGGTCCAGGAATGAATCGGCCATACCCCGAGCTTGCTCTTTATCGGCCATCTCTCGCTGGCGTTCTTTTTGCTCTGCAGCACGGTCTCTGTCATCCGCAAGGGCTTCGCGTGCTCGAAATATGGCGCGGTTGCGAATCCACATACTTCTGTCTGCATAATACTCCTCTTTCTTTCTGGAAGCCTCTACATCATCATCCCATGCCTTGAGACGCTGAGCCATCTTTTCTTTTTCAACCTTGAGTCTTCCCTCGTCATCACCCTCACGCGCATTTTCTCGTTCCACTGCAGCTGTCCGTGATTTTTCACGGTTCAGCCAACGCCGTTCTTGATCGCGATACTGATTCTCCAATTCTTCCTTTTTCTTATCGTTGCGCCGTCTTTCAAGCTCTTCGTCGCTCGCGGGGTCATCTTCCTCTTCTCGATTGATACAGTGTTCGCTATTTGATGCACCGTTTATACCGCTACCGTTGATGAATTTCACTCCTTGCTGGTAGTCACGAGGAATTTGTTGACCTTGAAGTTTGGGACCGGATGGAGCATTGGGAACACCTCGGGGACCAAGAGGAATATTATTGGTTCCAGCTGCTGGACCATGTGGAATCTGAGGGCCGGGTGATGCAAGTCGTGATGGTCGAGGAGCTCCGTTGCGTTGTCGTTCCAAAGCCTCCATTTCCTCCTCTCGCTTAAGGCGTTCCATATCCCTTCTGGTACTACGATCTCTAAATGCCGTGATTTCTTGTGCGACCGTCTCTCGCATTTCTGCTGGGATATCCGCTAGTTCATCATCGACCGCCAATGGTATATTGACAACTTCTATGTTATCCTTGCTCCCATCCGCATCCTGCATTTCTGTGTCCCCGTCGAGGTTTTCCATCTTTACAAACATTGGAGGGTGGAACAATTCATATAGAACACCCTTGAGGTCTGCTCGCGCAACATCGAGTCGAGATTGCTGGGCGGCAGAATCGTCTCCTCGATTTGAGTTGTAGTTCTCGAGGTAATTAAGGGAATTGTCGTCCACAAAAACAAGTAGTTTTGCCTTTTCAATCTCATCATCATCTTCTCCCTCAGCCTTTATCGCCCCGGTGCTGGGTGGCTGCTTCTTGAGAGGAGTTTCAATGTCCTTCAAAACTTCAACGGCGGTTTCCAAGCTTTCTGCGTCGTCGTATTGCGCAAACCCGAAAGAGCACTGCTTGCCGTCTGCATCTGTCGCTCTGTCCCATCTCCGTAGTCTTCCTGCCGTGCATAATATTCGCTCGATTCCATCGTCTCCATCAGCACCGTCTGTAATCCCCCCAATGAAGAGCGTTCGTACTATTTCCTCCTTGGTAGGCGGGACCAAAGACATCATGCTGTCTCGGAGGGCCTGTCGCTGAGCTTCCATGCCCCGCTCTGCCCCCAATCCAGCTCTTCCACCGGTAGACATTTGATCTTGACCTTCTCTCCTTCCACCAGGGCCTGTCATTGGCGTGTTAGGCTTCGAGGGACCTGTACCCAACCGAATAACGGGCGCGGAGAAGTTTATATTCGGCATGTTTGGAGGGCCCTGGAAGCTGGCCGGGAGGCCGCTTGGTCGGCTAGCCTGAGTACTATTGGCTTGCTGTATTCCAGGAGGAGGAGCCGTACCTGGCGCTGACATCCCTGGTGGAGGACCTGTATCGCAGTTAGGAGTGTGAGAGGGTGTCGCAAAGACATCGAACTTACCCATTCCTGGTGGTGGTCCCATGCCAGGCGGAGAACCGCTCTGGCCTGGGAATGATCCAAAGCCTGGAGGACGGCCATAAGGTGAGGCTATGCAGAGAGTATGTTAGTATTTGTGCTAAATTGGTATGTATCGAGATGCCGATGGCAAAGCTGGGGGAGGGATTCAATACACCTACCTCCATAATTGTATGACATGATTCAATGCTGTGCTCTCTGGATGGTGAAGATGAAGTCGCAGACAATTAGGATACTGTTTCGCGACACAATAAATTGGGTTCAGATCAGTTCAAATCAGGGTGGGAGGTTGGCGCAAAAGACAATGTTTGTCGTCAGTTGAGTGCTTAAGTCGCAAGGCTAGGTAGCTGCAGCTATCACCATTCAAATTTCAGGACGACATCCTACCCACGTGACCTATACCTGGTCCATGCCTCCAAAATCATCCCGCCAGGCCCAATAATAGTTCGCAGTTCCAGGAATCAACGACACCTCTCAGAACTATTTACGCGGTTCACCCAAAGTATGTCTACATTGCTTCCAGACTCATATATACTATCATCTAACAATTTATAGGATTATGGAGCTTCGAAGGGCAGCAGATGCGCTTCTGCGCGCGGAAGCTTCTTGTGCTAGCTTTCTCGCACCCTCGAATCTTATACGACGGCCATTACGAGTACAATGCCAGATTACGTCGAGAAGAAATCCAGATCTACCGAGAAGAAGCTTTACGACATCGAATTGCAAACATGATTCGCAACGGCCGCCTGCAACTACCGCCGGCTTACAATCCAACTCGCCCTCCGGATTACCAAAAGACGGACCAAAACCACCAAGCAGCGAGCTGGCGAAAGGCCTTTGGGGAGACAGGTCCACCCGCCCAGCTCCAATAGCACCGCAACGGGGAAACTCTGCCATAGCCATGTTTGCAAACCTCCATGGATCCACTGGTATAAACTTGGACGATATGATCAGCGTAGCAGCCGCCCCACGAGAAACAAGTTCACAAAATGCACTCATGGGCTACATGGATACTACCAATTTTGGTCTGACTGCGCCCCTGCTCCCGAAGGCGGCACCTATGCGACTGAACCCTTCGACGGGGAGAACCTTTGCCGTGGGAGGAAACGTGGACGTTGCAAGAGCATTCATGTTGTTAAATCAGAGTTGCGCTTCCAACAACGTGCGGCACGATGAGAGATATCAGAGGTTTCACGAGCGGGGTGGGTTAAAGAGGAAGAGATTGCATAGACAGAGGTGGCGAAAGAGATTTGGGGAGGGATTCAAGGCTGTCGTCGTGAGGGTCAAGCAGCTACGAACCCAAGGCTGGTAATCTACAAATCTGGGAACGGAATGTAAGCTTGTACTATAATGATGTATACAGAAAGACTCTGTAAAAATGCACATATCAGGATGAAAAATGTCCAAGGGCTTTCATTTCAAGAAAGGGATTGTTGGGCGTTACTTGTGACAGTAAGTTTGTATGTGGTTTCTACTCTTCAAATCATCACAAGGCAAGAAAAGAAAAAGGAGAATTGGTAACCCTAGTTCCAATTCTCTCATGTTACTGGCAATAAAAGTCAGTTCCACACACCATCACAACAAGCACTAAGCCCCCCTATACTCAATGAGATACATTCGCATATAAAGCGACTTTAGCTTTCAAGTCAGCCCTCTCTTAGTTCTTGCCTCTCATTGTGGGAAGAGTATATAATCGCACAGGAACTGACACAGTTGGCAAAGCGCCACTCTATATTTCCAACTTCTTTGTGTGTTTGTCTTGAAATTCAATCAGCAAATTAGCCGTTATTTGAAAGGTTGTCAGTAGACTGGTGCCCGTCCCATAATTCTGTCTCACAAGAGATAACATAGATAAAGCCGAGCCAAGAACAAGAAAATTGCTTTATTTCACATGTGTTGTTGAAAAAGAATTACCTAGCCTATCATTGTCACATTCACATTTTACTCTCCTTATGGACTTGAATAGGTTGTCCTTCTCAATCAGTAATAATCATCAAATGGTTTATATTGCACCAATACTAAATTCTAGCTTGACACAAGAGCGAGGTGAGTTTATCCATTGGCAAGCCTAGCTATCTACAAAGTACAGGTACTATCCTCAAGCGCAAGTAATACAGGGGCCATACAAAATCCCACCAATCGGACTCAACGTCCGTACGCAAGCTTAAGCGAAGTATACCAACTCCTTGACCTCCCATAAGAGCAGCTTCCGCCAAACACTTTACATGTACTCAACGAAAATCTCGTCGATCAGTTTTTGTCACTATTAAAAAGCAGAGACAGGTTAGTGCGGAATTACCATCCAATAAAATCACAATTCCATCTCTTGCCTTCCAGACACCTCCGACGTCGTACAAGAATTTTTTATTTTTTTTCAAAGCAGATAGCTAAGCCACTCTTGCCCCCCAATTTATGGAGGAGGCGGCGAAGTGTGACACATGTCGGTATGTAAGTAGATACATTAGGAAACCCACTGAGGTAGGTGAAATCCCAGAGAGCAAGGATATTCAACGGAAGAAGAAGATTCTTTGCAAAGATGACATCCAATAGGTAGAACGAGAATGCGTCTATTGCTCGCAGTATTTGGAAAGAAGGTACTAAGCAAAACCAAAATCGTTTTGGGGGGGAAACAGTAAAGGAAGGTTCCAATGGCTATGGACCACATATTGCAGGTGTTTTTTTAAGATAGAATACTAGGATACGTGAGAAAAGGTAGTGCCAGGGGAAGCGACTGCGCCTTTTTATGAGAGCTTGAGATGGGGTTGTTGGACGACAATAGGTGATCTGAAGTACTTGAAAGACCGGAGATGTAAATTTGCTTTTGTACTCAAGCTCACAATCAAACGGCTGCTCGTGAGAGACAATAGTGACTAACACGAGTAATGCTTCGCATACTACTGCGATTTCCACTTTGACTTACTTGTAAAGTTCCAAATACCGGAGTGTTACCAACTCCCACAGATTAGAAATTAGAAACCTTTTCGAATATGAATATGCAAAACAACATCAAGTGACGTGACTCATGGGTGGCACCTAATGAGGTTCTGCTATTCAGAAATTTGTCGGTATGGCCAAAGAACAAGAAAAGATAAAAGAACATGACTGGTCCGGAACTGCGCTCCGCTGTTACCTGGTCGCAAAGTCAAAATCCACGCCATTGATAAATGAGATATCGCAGAAACGGTAAAAGTAACCGGGTAACGTGGGGGCAATTATCGTTTGCCACGAAAATTTGTTGTGTGCACACTATCGATGTCCTGTAATCAACATGAAGATTGAAGTTGTCGGTGAAGAGGTGGATGTAGCGGGAAATATTTTGGACGATGAAGAAAATGGTAGTCAGAAGAAGGTTAGGGATTATCAAAACCACGCCCCAGGATTGTGATACTAGATCCACCTAGAGTAATGGATCCACAAGCTTCCAGGGTAGTTTCAGAAGCAGTTCCTTGCTTAGTGGAAGCGTAACGGTTCCACAAAGTCTGCGGGAGGGGAGTTGAAGCCCGGCTCCGATGTCATCTCAATTTTACGTCGTAGTCCAAAGTAACAGGACGCATGTGGAAGGGATCTGTACATGCCAAGTCCTGTAAAATGTGAAGGCCGGCTATGTCCTCTTCCAATATCAGGGTTGGTATCGGAGGTTTGGTAGGGCAGATCGATTGATAGACCGCCTCGAATACAACCAAGCTGCTCCGCCGATCATATCAAGATATACAATCGACCTTGCAGATGTCAGCAAACGCATTAGACAGAGAAGGCGAGGTAGCACAAGATTTGATTCGAGATCTTGCTAGAGCACAATACTTGTACTGTATGAGCATCCATATATACCTGTCAGGTAACAGCCGCGCGGTTGTGGGAAGAGCAAACGCCAAACTCCCCGCTATTTTAGCTTTCAAGGCCATTGAACCATGACCATACTGGTAATCTTAGAAGCGCTAGGTCTGCGAATCGTTCGGACGGATGCAGCATCGTCATGACAGATGTCCAGGCGTCGTAAACTTATTCATAGACGCGGGCGTATGAGTTGTATCGGGCAAGACCCCAAGGGATGGTGGCAATACTCAAGGCACATCGTCACTTCCCTCACATCACCCATGGCTACCCGACCTTGGAGAAGACGAGATGGACCTGGACGCGAAATTTAGCAAATCCACATCGTCTCGCTCGAAAACGAAATCGACAACCACAACCTGTGCTTGACCGGGGCTGTCTTCCAATTGTTCGCACCGCACCGGTGGTAGAGCTGCTTCCAAGTGAACGATCCCAGGGACTCCAATAGGGGCATCCCATTCGACGTAACCAGTGAGGCAGTCTCCAGGGCCCTTGACTATATACACCAAACCCATTGCTATTGTCGTGTACTCGAGTCATCACGGGGCTCTTCTCAACGACAACCTTGGCAGAGCCCGAATCTGAATCTTCTGACGTGGGAAGTGGTTGAATCCCAAGCTGGCTCCCGGCGAATCTGGACTGAAGGGACAAGCAGGAAGCACGAAGCACGAAGCTGGTAAGGGAATTCCTCCGCAGGCTGGCAGCTGGCAGGCCGATGGTTGGAAAATTGCCCAATGAGCCCCGGATCGCAGGTCCACCTATGGAACAACAACCAGATGGGCAATTAATGGCGTTTCTACTTCGTAGATCCACAATCCGCTTCCGTACCATCCCCAAGATTTACAAACCTCTGCTTCTCCACATCCCCTTCCCGACTCGACTCTGGAGTCTGGACAACCCAACCCTCGATACGCCAACCTTGCTCCGTGCGGTCGCAAGACGGAGCATGGTCAGCCATACCCCAGACGGACTCGCAAGATAAGGTACTAAGGTTAGCACTATAAAAAAAACATAGTGAGTGAGAATGTCTTTTCGCAAGATCCGCCCCTCGTTTGGCGACAGCAGCGCATCCATCAGCACCAGCACTCCAAGCCAATCCACATCCGACACTACGGGCTCTGATCCACGCCGGGTCCGCGGCGGCTACAAGGAAGGCGAAAGCGCAGGAGCTCCTTCCACTTCCAAACGTCGACGAGTGCCAGACTCGGTGACGCGAAATGCGTGTCTGAATTGCAAGAAAGCGCGGGCGAAGGTGTGTGGTTGTCTCGTCTCCACTTGGGTTGAGAACCGCGGCGTGCCACCGAGACGGACGACGTGCGGGCACTCCGCCTTGTGCGCCGTCTCGGGCGCGCATTTCCAACCTTTCCTGACCTTCCTGACCTTCACAGACTGACGAGGAATAGTGTGATGGGAAGAAGCCTTGCAAGAGATGCGCGTCGAGGGTCGAGACCTCGGAGTGTGTCTACGAGGTCCATATCAAGCATGCGAAGGAGGAGCTGGTCAAGCAGATCAAGGGGCTCAAGGCCAGAGACCATCTAACCGATCAGATCCTTCAAGCGCTGTCCACGGACGAAAAGGTGCCCGAAATACTCGAACGACTCAAGAACGGGGAGGAATACGAAAGCATTGTGGAATGGCTGGGCCGCTCGCCCATCGAGGATTTTGAAACCCTCTCGCCCCGGACATCGCAGCATTCAACTTTCGAGGTCTCGGATGACCATGAGATGGGAGGGATTGCGAATGTCTTCAGGTGGACCACCGTGACATATGACTCGGCAGTGCTAGACCATCTGTTCCAACTGTATTTTGCCTGGGTCCATCCAGTGCATACCTTGTTCAGCGAGGGCCATTTTGTCGATAGTTACAAGCGCCAGTCGGACAATTACTGCTCTTCGGTCCTTGTGAATGCCATATGTGCTATGGCTTGTCATCTACACTTCCCTACCGACACAGACGAGGTAGATTATGAGCGTCTCCGGGAGGAATTCAGCAACGCCGTACGCGTGAGGCTAGACTCAGGAGATCACGCTGTGACCACAATACAAGCGTTTGGGGTCATGTTTCTGGTTGACTGTGCTCGCTCAAAATGCTTGCGCGCTTCGTCCTACCTTAAAGTTGCGGCTGATAATCTCCTCAATGTTGCAACCACAGAAGTAGACCCTGAGGTGTGGAAGAATACCATTTGGGGTATCCAAAATCTGACCGTGTTAGTTCTAATGTCTTTCTTCCAGGGACCATACTAACAGGCTTAGTGAATGGGCACAGATAACCTGCCAGGCACCTCAGGTCATTGAGTTTCCCGTTTTTGACGCCATTGCGGACACTGATGTGCGTTTGGACCATGCGAGGTGGTATTTCTATCGGCAGGCCAGTGACCAATGTCCAGCTTGGCCAGGTCTCCTAGTCACAACAAACCGCGAGAAATCGAAATTAATAAGGATCATTCAGGAGATCTCTAGAATGCTTTACTCGAGGACAGCAGTACCACTATCTGCTTATGAAGTTTTGCAGCAGTATAGTAGGCTCACCACCTGGCGGGAGAATCTCCCAAGCATCATTGGAGACGTAGACAACAATCCAGGCCAAGCCCTCCCACATGTGCTGTCTCTTTTGTAGGTGACATGACCCCGCATCTCTCTGCACTTCGCTAATTCTGCAGGATTCTCTATTCCAATTCAGTAATCCAGCTCCTTCGCCCTTTGCTTGGCCTAGAGGGGTTCCAGGCCTCCTGGGTGGAGGATATCATATGGAATCATGCACAGCAAGGACTATACCTTCTGGATGAGCATTACAGAACGCAGTACACCTGCCGGTATCAACCTGTTCTACAGATGTTTGCAATTCTTCACCTCACTGATATTATTGCCCGGTTTTTTCCTGGTGGCAAGGAAGGCGGATCCAAAGATGGGCCGGATGCCATAACCTTTGGTATGGATGCATTGATGCAGTCCTATGTAGGATTTCCTATAGCTGGTCCACTCCAAGAGTTGTTGAGACGTAGTGCAAATGAATTATATATTCGGCTGCCTCGAAACTTGAGCGAGATTTCATCTCTCTCAAGAGCCCCAAAGCAAACGTATCATCTGGATGATATCATTGATGCTTGTACCAGGCCTACATACCTCCAACCGGTTCTCGAAATTCGCACAAGGTTAGTTTCTAGTTTTGCTGTGGACTGGGCAGCAGAGGGCGCCTCTTTCGGCTTCCCTGGGATCTCCCGGGTCCACGTACCGTCGGCTGAGGAGCGGGGAGCGCAGAGTCTCATGCAAATCCATAATCTGCTCAATTCCAATTGAAGTTTATGAGAGGGTGCTGTGAACGAGGAATCGAGCTCGGACCTGGTTAACTCTCATATCCCAGTCTCGTGGTTTGTCATGGGGAGGCGGGTGAAGACTGCGCGGATCAGCATCAGAAAAGGGAGGGTGACTGGTATGAAATCACTAACCATTCTTGGAAAATTTTGCAACGACCGCCTTTTCAATTGTCCACATCAGATACTACTCCAATAAAATCAGCTTCCGTGCTTAGCGGACTGCTGAATATAATCTCGGTTGCGCGCACACATCAAGTCCCGTTTCATCGTACTTTGTGGCTAGAGATGGCTCGAGAGGTCAGCGCGATCGTGTTCTTGGTGGTCGTAGGGTGATCAAGCAAGGGCGTTGGTTGACAATTCGATGACCCAAGAGGTACCTGGAAACGCGTAAAGCCAATGACCGTTTTCTTGTGGTCGCAATGGGCAATCCAACGGAGACACCTCCGCTCCCTACTCCCAGGCACTCCTCAGCTCAGTGCCCATCTCCCTCCGCCAACTTTCTTCCACTGAATATGCGAAATGGCCCCTTGTTCTCCCATGCCTTCCTTCGATGTCTGCTGCCATTTTCCATGAAGGAATTCACGACATCTCTTTCTATTGTGGTCGGTGGCGAGCTTCTGGATGTTTGTGAGATTTTGCGACAGTTTGTTCTGGGGAAAAGCGAAAACAGAATTGAGGGGGGTTCTGGAGCTTTGAATCTGTGTCGCAGAGGGTTTGCAGCAAATAGGAAAAGAATATGGGGTTTCCGAATGACATATTTGGCATGTTAAGCGGACTTTTTATTTTGATAGTCGCGGTGGCGGCCGTTCCTCCGAGGTAACATATTCAGGTGTGACCCATAATTCCGCGAGTTTCGTCGTCCCTTTGATTGGGTCGAGACAACTCCTGCTAAGGTTAAGGGGCAGCTCAACACGAGCCCACCATTTCACATCCATCCTGTCCTCTTTCTCCCGTAGCCAGCCCTTTTCTGATTACGTGCAAAGATTTGGGATGCCGAGGTCAACGTGGACACTAATGATTTATCCCACTGGAAGATCTTTTTTCAGGCCGCGCCACCATCATAAACCATTGCTCGAGGTTCTCTTCAAGTGTGGTCCCATGGATTCCTTGAGGCTCTCTCTTTGTTTTCTCGGTATATGCATTGTCCAAAATACCCTGCTTCCGATTTGTCGAGATTCCTCTCATCTTTTGAAGTATTAAAGGTTACCTCTATGGCCTGATATAGGGAGAGAAGTTCGGCTCCAGAGGCGAACGAGATGAACCAGTAGAAAGAGCCCAAGCCCACGGTATCGGCTTTTGGCCGCGTGTTACCGGGTAGAATGTGAAATCTACGTAGGAAGTATTTTCTATTCATTTCGCCACCTCGTTTGGTTTGTCAATTCTCCTTTTCTCTCTTAGACAGATCGGCTTTTTCGTGTCAGAGAAAGACCGTTTATCCAGCATCTCGATCTCAATCGCCCCTAGTTTACCTCGTAGCTCTGGGTTTCTTCGATGTTGCCGCGTTTGCCTACGTGGGAGGAAGGGTGTTGATCCATTGGCGCTACCAGAGTCTTTGCAATTGCGAGACGAGATCAATTCGTTGCCATCATTCATGGTGTCTCCGTCCTCCGAATGGGAACCGCTTAACTGTTTCAAGGGCATCCAAAGCTGCTGACGGATTCTCGTATTCTTGCTGTGTGTGTCCAACAGAGGCACCCCAAAGATAATGAGGTGGTCGAAGGGCCAGAACGAAGGCTTGCGCGCATGTTGCACCCTGCCTATGAAGGTAGTTGAGAAGCAGGTTTCATTCATCATTTGTAAAGTTGGGACATTCATTTCGTAGAGTTGTTTGTCGCCACAAACTGGATTGAAAGCCTCCAGATTCTTCTGCATTGAACTTCTCGGTGCGACGAGGTAAAGATGCCATCTCGTTTTCGAAAAACGTGGTTCTTCCGCATATGCAGCCACTGCTGTCCAATCCAGGGCGGATATCAAAAACTGCGAAGCTAACAACGGTAACAACGACACTGCAAGACATGTCGTGTCGTGGGCGAGACTAACGTATTTATAGATGGCGATCGAGATCATCTAGTGCTAGGATAGATATATACGTGGGCGGCATTGTTTGCTCATTGGAGAACCTCGTGACGTGACGCAACGTGAGGTCCCGCGCTAGCAGTAGACGCCGAGTTGTTGTTATCAGGACAAATATGTTTTGGTATTGTCCTCGGTTCAGGTCCAGGTTCAGATTCAGGCTGGTCAACGACGCTAAGAACTTCCAACTTGCTCACGTGAATGGTATTGAGAGCTCTCTACCAAGTGAATAGGCCAGATTCGACGAGTGAGGCAAAATATGCCATATCATTTAACATTTACTCATGCTCATTGGATTGATGGTGAAGCTGCTGCCATAATTACCTCATTGGGCGAATGTCGGCTACGGCAGAACACCCACCCGATTTTCAATACAACTACGCTTATCGGCACTCAAAATACAACATACGTATTACGACTGATCATCCACGCCACACGCAGGCACTTACTCTAACCGTGAAAATTTGAAAGGTACAATCGTATTCGATATTCCTCGACTTGTTTTCAGAGCATATATCTAACATCTCCCAGTTTATGACATTGACATTGACTTGACTGGCGCTCCCCTCCTTTCGTCCAAGCCCAAAATGTCGCTCCCAAACGAAATCTGGCGCGCGATATGCGAACTCTCCACGGTTGAAACGGTTGAAACCGCGAAGACTCTGAGGTTAGTCAACAAACAGCTCAGCATCGTCGCAGCTGAGGTGGCGTTGAGAGTCGTACGCCTTGCTCTCTTTCCGCCTTCCCTCTCGACACTCTCAGAAATGTGCAATAATTCCCATTTCAGTCGACGCCCCGCACAAATTAACATTTGCGAATGTCGTCTTAAAGAGGGCGTGCTCTTGCCCAAGCTGAAGACATTTCCTGACTGGAATGGGCGCAAGAACGAAGCTCGCAACCTTGAAACTGTTCATCACCGCTTGTTCACCACTGAAAGTGCTACCAAAGTCCTCACGGACGCCATCCGCGGCCTCCCGAATTTGAAGAGTATCGTTCTCGGCAATCGCTACGGAGTTTGTCCAACTGCCAAAAATATATCAAGTCATTTAGGGACTGAAAATTCCGTTTCCGAGTGTTTAGGCGCCCAAAGCCTTTTCAAACCCCTTGTACAAGCCGTTCTAGCAAGTAACAGGGCCATTGATAAACTATTTGTACCAGCATCCACTGGCTCTTCGTGTTGGTCAGTGGAGAATCAACAATGGATGTAAGTTACAACAATGGATGTAAGTTACAACAATGCCCTTTAGTGCTCTGAAGCTCTTAGCAATATACCTTGAGCTAGAAAAAGAAGTGGATGTTATCTCAAGCGATCACCAGGCGGGAAACTTCCCGCCACCACCCTCCGCAGTACGGAGCCTTTTCGTTGCAGCGGCAAATGTCGAGAGACTTTATCTCATGAATTCTAGGATGTACCCTCACCGCCAAGGATTCCTTCCTCGATGGAATGGCGCGGGTGTGTTTGAAAACATATTATGGCCTCGCTTACGTGCCATGACAATTACCAACTGCCGGTTGGACGCAAATATACTGACCACCTTCTTGATACGCCACTCGAGGACCCTGCAAAGCTTAGCGCTCTACGGTGATGAGTTGACTGGCGATTTCGATAATGCATCCGGCTCGAATACCTGGGAGGCGGTAATATCAATCCTTGCGAGAAACCTCAAGTTCAGCCATGTGGCTCTGGCTGGTCTCATGGATCGGAGGCAGACGAGCAGCCTTGTCACGTATCAGGCGACACCTCGTGCAAGTAGGATTGATTTTAACACGCTTCTGACAGCTTGGGAGGAGGAACTCAGACTTTACTTGTGCGAGTCCCGTGGAGATCCATCATGGGCTGAATACCTTCCGGTATTTACTAAACCAAGGGTTCTCGCTTGCTCGTCTCGGATCTGAGCTTGTTTATGGTACATGGGATATTTCGCTCGTCTTTGAATAACGAAACTTTGACAAGAGTAAACTTCTGGATTTCATCGCGCTATATCATGATATTTAGGGACTGTTCGGATTAGCCATTATTTTAAAATACAAAGACAAAGTAGGATACCTGGTTGTTACTCTGTACACACTATATAAAATGTTATTATACTGAACTTATAGCACAAGTACTTATATTACTATACCTAGATTTATTAAAATAGAGTATTAATAATTATTCTAAGAGAGAGATATATAAGGTAATAACTAAGGTAGGTCTTCTATAATAATTTCTATAGTTAAATTAAGAATCTTATTACACCTGTTGGGAATACTAGAATTGTTGGAATGCTGGCATTCGGGTTTTCAGCGGTGCAGGTCACGTTTTCCTATGTCACGTTTTTCCCCACGCATCTGATACGTGTTTCGTATCAGACACCCACACTCTTTTACCCATCGTCCGAAGCAATTGTAGATAGGAGGAACACACAGAATACAATCGAGAATCAGCGCGCTTACTTTGTGTCACACTTTGAGAGAGAGAGAGAGAGAACAAACCTGTACAGTCGTATCAACACTGATCAGTGGTTGAAAGACCACGGAACAGCTAGGTATCAACTTTACCAGAAGAGACAGAAACGGCGAGATCGGAGACTCACGAATCCTTTTTCGTACGACTGTGCTAGAGAGTATTATTTCACACTGTGAAGTAATATTCAAGGAATATTCAGCTGTCGTCTTCCCTACCGAGCCCTAGAGGGACGACAATTGGAGGTTCTGCGTCTATCACGGCCACTTGAGACGTACGGGAGAATTGGACTGAAAGCAGGAAGAGATCTACCGCCAAAAGCGTTATCGTACGAACACGACCAAGAGCTTCGTACACAGCCAGAAATGGCGAAATTACCAGGACAACAGGAGGACAGGAGATACCCATTGTTAGAAGAGCAATGGGGAAGGAACTTTGACCCAGAGAATCCCGAGAATCACACAGAAGAGAAAGTCAACACGCATATCTTATTACTACTCGAGAACGAGAAGTACGAAAAGCTTCAGGACAAAGAACTCTGGACTGAGTTTCGGGAACACTTTGAAGATTGGACTCTGGAACTCTTCAAGATCGGGAGCAGGAAAGCACTCCAGGAGCTTCGTACGACCCTTACAGAGAACGGAGTATGGGTTAAACCAGTAGACGGACTTTCCTACGCAGCAGTACTCAACGGGGTCCTTCAAGAAGAGAACCAACATGAATGGACTGATGCGGAAATCCAAACTCATCTTAAACAGAGAAACGCAATCTTCAATTCAGAGAAGAACCCTGTGAATCAATCAAGAGCTGCCCCAGGAAATCGTACAAGGGACAACACCAGAGAATTGGAACCAAGAGAACAAGAAATCCAAGAAAATTCAGACAGGATCCAAGGAACGCAAAACCGAACTCTATTACAAGACGATCAAGATCAAAGGCAACACACGGAAAACCAAACTCCAAATGCCAGGAACCCAGCATTTCAGACGATGTTTCAAGAGGATGTCGGACGAGGATATACCCCTATACCTCATGACTCGCGAGACAATACTCCTTTTCCAGAAACGAGACCTTACTCGCGATTCAATGCACCTGAACATCCAATATTGCGAAGGGAACAGAACAGCTTTGGACAAAGAGACACCGAGGCCAGGACTCGCACAGAAGATCCAAGATACGAGGGGAATCGTACAGAGAATCCGAGGTACGAGAGAATTCGGACGAACTCAAACAAATTCCTGATTGACTTGATGAAGATCTATTCACATGATAGTAAAAAGTACGGAGGGGAGTTGTACGATATTTTGGATATCAAACTCCAAGTATTTTACGACTGCTGCACAAAGGTTGGATTGCACGAGGCAGAGTACCACAAGGCATTTTCAATTATGCTCAAAGGAAGAGCAAATGATTTTTACTACGACAAGATATCAGGACGGTCGTACGATTTTCCTACGATGATCACGATGACAAAAGCACATTTTGAGACAGAAGAGAATCGGATGATGTATTTGGCAGAGTGGAAAGGAACAACATTCCAAACAGTCGCGCGAGACAATCCTGACATGACTCGACTTCAAGTACTTGAGAAACTTTTTGATCTTCTTCGTACAGCACAGAGAGGATTGTCAATCGAGTACCAAAACGAAAACAACCTTCGGGACCAAGTGTTAAGTGCATGCAAGGGAGTGAGAGAGTGTAGACTAGCACTTTACCAGCCAGCGCCGACATTTGAAGGACTATGCTCGAACTTGAGATCAGCGATTGGGACCGCCGTACGCGAAAAAGGGGAGAAAGGATCATATACAATAGAACTAGAAGGATCGTCGGACGAATATCAACCACGGCAGTACTGGACAGATCGCACGTACGAAAAGAGCGAAGGGATTAAAACCCCGTACCAACGCCAATCATTTCAGCCAACGAGGAAGGTGCAAGAAGTGAAGGGGTAATAACCCCGCCGGGAGCATTCAGTGCAAGGCACAGCTCGTACAACGCCGCGTGATT